GATAAAAAGAGCTTCTTTCTTTTTCGGTCAATGTCACGGCCAAACAGGTCCATCTTTCCTATTAGCTTTACTACTTTCTACTTTGAAGGCAAAGATATTACACAGCAATACCATATCCATTTCAGTACTTATTTGTGCATATGGTAAAGTATCTTCATATTAATCATCGCAATCGGTTTTTGGAGATGCTAAAAACAAAATTCAATGTATTCGACAAGATATTTACTTGACTGTATCATGACTCATATAATATTCGCTCACATTAATTTTATATCAGTAGATGCCGTTAGAATAAATATCACAGACCCTTTAGATGCAATCGTATTATAGAAACTTCTATACTTGCCATTTTTGCATAAACAAGATCGAGTATTGTTTTTTTATTATTTTTATCTGCAACTAATAGCTGTTGTAGTCAGCATTGCTGCTGTCGCTCTCGCTCTTCAGCTCTGAGTTGTTCGTGCCACTTTTTTCCTCGTCTTCCTTTTCATCATCATCTGTTAGTGCTTCAGAGCACAACGACACAGCATCTTCACTGTGGGAAATGGGTCGGTTACCAGGTGTTAAAAAAGAGGTGAAGTTTTTCACCGCCCAAAATGGGTAGTTTTGAAATTTATGCTGCTATTACACCCTTTGAATCCACCTCTACTAACCATTTTACAACCACTCTTCAACCACTTTCAAACTTCTTTTTCCCCGATATTTCCTTCAATTTACCTAACCTTTCTCTCCTTTTAACCATATTTTTCAGTTTTACCAGATGAGATTTAACTGTAATCTACTTTGACTAACTTCTTTTACCCTCCTTTTTGGATACCATAATTATGCATAGTCCTTCCTGCAAGGCTACTACTCAATCTTTACTATCTTTTAATCCCTTCGTGAAAATATCCAATGCAATAATGTATGATGGTAACGGCGAGTGATATAGCAACTCGCGACATAGTGATGGAAGTAGAAACGGCAGGTGATAACTTGTAATGACTACTAGATAGAGCAAATTTCATTAGCATATGAGTTATACTCAACCTGACACTTCCATTCCTCTGATATACTTGCCTTATTGACGTGATCGTTTCTTGGATTTATTTTTCTTGCTGCGCTTCTATAAGCATAAAGTGCATGTGAGCATACAACTTACTGAGAGCACGGTTCAAATTTGTAAATAGCATACCTTGCGCTTTCCTTCATTACTCTTTTCTTGATTGTCCTTGTCAGATTGGCTATTGTAATTGTAATAGCGGATGAGTATATGAGACTCATATAAGAGGTAGCCAATACAGTAAAGCACACCACATTTACTTATTTGCTGGTGTATTGGGATCGTCCTGAGCAGCCTCCTATAATGCACTATTGTAATATTTTGCTTTGTTACGCCAGCATTGAGAAACCAGATGATGTATGAACCAATCTTCAGTGCAGCACCGCACAGGCAAACCCAACTTGACTGCCTCCTCGCTCACAGCTTCGCAAATAAGCTTCTTGTTTTTTTACGACAACTTTCTCTAAGATGACAGCTTTTCGCTACCTTGATCGAACATTTCTTTTGCCACGTCTGTGCATGACCATCGCATATACTTCCCAACATCATTGAGTTTCTGCTTGGCTGCTGCTTCATCCTCAAGTTGGCAGTGTTCTAGGATAGATTGTTTCAGGTACTTTTTCTAGATCTTGATTTTCTAGCCACCTGAATAATGAGGTGGTGGAATAATATCTTTTGTCGTATTGCTTGACTGCTGCGTGCTCGTGACACTGCCTGTAGTAATAAGAGACTGAATACTTTGTTACACTGCACTTAGCCTCAACTCCAATAGGTTGAGTGACAACTGGCTGCTGGCGAGCTTGTCCACAATCTGATTCAGTCTTTCTTGAAAGGTGGCAGCGAAACAATCCAGTTTCCCTAAGATCGAATTAGTTGATGCTGCTACTGTCTGTGCTGCAGTTGGCATTTTTTTGAAAAATTGATCGTTTGCAAGTTAATCTTTTTGTTGCATGGATAAAAAAGAGAAGGAAAAAAAGGACGCGCGTTTTTTCTGTCAAATTTAGAGGGCGCGTCGCATGCAGAAAACGTGTGAGTCGGGTTCTTTTTTCTGCTGTTCGTTGATCCTTTGACACATGTATGCATTATGCCCCTGTGCACAGACTGCAACCAGATAATCAGTAAAACTCGTTGGCGTACCCATCGACGCAATTGTTTTCTAAAGAAATTGAAACGTTGTAGATTATTGATGGAGCAACAACTACAGCAACAACGTCGACAAACAGCGAATATTATACAGAACTGGTTTGACAGCTTAAGTTGTGATGACAATGGTATGCTTCCTCTTATACTCTGCTCTTTTTTTACCCTCAATTGTTGAACACATTAGGTCTTAACATTGAAAGTTATCTCACTGAAGGAGATGGTACCCAAGGAAATTTGAAGGTGACGAAAGCTATGATTATGGTCAAGAAGACGATGCTTCTACGGCGAGCAATAATAGTACTTTCACTTCCCCAGAATCAAACGATACAACCACCACAACCAGCAGGAATAATAGCAGCAGCAGCAGTAGCAGTGACGGCGATAACAGCGACGGCGACGACGACAACAGCAGCGCATCGAACTTTGGGCCGATTAAAGTCGTCGTTCCAACACCTGAACAAGTAGATATTACAACGTAAAATAGCATCGAATTCTATGCAGTTGTGAAAGAACTTGGAATTGGAAGGAATGCCATCGACTCTCTCATTGAATGGATAAATAACTATACACTGGATCAATGCTTTGGTAAGTAATTCAATGTATATTAGGGATCTGCACAGTTCGGTTCGGTTCGGTTCTTGAAGGGAACCGAAACAAACCGTCTAAAGTAAGAACCAAACTGACTAGAACCGACGAGAACTGTAGAACCGAAGAATCGAACCGAAGAACCAAACCTATCATATATATAAAAAAGGCAAGATTCGGTATCTTTAATGAAAGCTGATGTGCGTGTTCAAATGTCGCAGTATACTTGAATACTGCAGTAAAAAAGAATAGTTTATTATTGTACATTGAACAGCGATCTCAAAATGAATAAGAGAAACAGAATGTAAACGTTCTTATACGATGTGGGTCATTGCATGGTTAAAAGATTGAAGCACAGTTTTTACAAAAAAAAGTGGAGCTTATAGTACTTACTTAGAGCGACTTAGTATTACTAGTACAATATGTTATCGTAACATTGGAGGAATTGAACCACAACCGGCAGTACATACAGCTGCTGTGTCTCTACGTGTGTATAGTGTATAATGTCTCATAGAGGCTCAATCCATAACAATTAATTTTATTGTAAACAGTAAATTAATTTTTATTATTCCTTTCACAGTCAAGCTAAGCTGCGTCCAGGTGTTCCTTGCTTAGAGGAGGGATTTGCTCACTACCGTTGCGCCACTTAGAGTGATTTAGACTTAATGATTGAGAATAATCATCTTGGCTAAGAATTATTTAGGGTTTGAGAAATTATTTTTTTAACAAAAAATTAATTTCATAATTTATTATAATTATTTAAAAATTATATTACTTATAATTTTTTAGCTAATAATCATTTTGCTAAAATCATAATGCTAAGACTTACCCCCCATAGAAGGCAAAGGGTGAATGGGTAAGATAATTCTGTTATGAGCCCCAGAATGTGCAATCTCAAACGGAATGCACAAACTTGATAAAACTGATCGAGAAGCCATGATAAATCTAGTAAAGTAGTATGTCATGGAGAAAAATGCATTGTGGGTAGCAAAGTAGAGGAATAAGTAATGATGTGCGTCATGGGCGGAGAAAGCAAGCTACTATCAGAAGAAGTGTTTTTTTATTTTTTTCTCTTCTCTTCTTAACTATTTTTCACTCCCTTCTGCTTTTGCAGGTTTTGTTAAGTTTTTAAATAAAGTATAGCTTGCAAATATACTACTTTGTGGTCTTTTCGGAGTAACATTGTTCTTAACTTCCATTATAGCCTACTTTATACTAATTACCAAAATCGCTGATTGCAATCTTCTGCCTCTCAGTTCTTCGGTTATAAGTATACAGAACTGGTTCGGTTCCAGTTCAGTTCTTGATAGGAACCGAACCATATTTTCTCGGTTTCGGTTCGGTTCGGTTCGGTTCTGGTTCTACAGTTCTGATATGGATCCCTAATGTATATGGTGCCATCTGAGAGTACAAAGGGGAAGTGAGAGTAGGAAGGAAGTATAATTAGTTATCTAGTTTTCGAGTCTTCTCTTATGAACAGTAAAAAAGCCTCTACTGTCACAAAGTTGCTCGAAAAATTTGTTACGGGAGAGAAGTTTAGTTAAAGCTGACAAGTATCATGTTTGTATCAATGGATGTTATCTTTTCACCGATGACGAGACAACTGTTTGTCCAAGTTACCAGGCATCTCGGTTTACAGAGGGCAGCTTGATCCCAGCGGCAACAATGCAACAGCTTCGTCTTTCAGAACAACTTGGATCATACTTTCAGTCCGCTTCTCTCAGAGAATTGCTACAGTACCGCTGGTCAAGAGCTGATGGCAGAGAAGTCCTGAAATATATTTTCGATGGGTCAATTTACAAAACACTGCGAGCTCAACTCTTCATGCATTGTGATGACATTGCAATAGCACTGTTTACAGATGGTTTCAATGTGTTCAAAAGACGCTCATATACAATTACTTTACTCATGGTGATGCTCCCTCCAGAAGAACGGTATGTGAAATACTAATTTGCACCTACTGAGTTCTTTTTATAGTTGAAAACGGTAACATATATTGTTTCTAAATGTAGGTTTAAAAAAGATAACCCACTACTCCTTGCAGCAATTCCGAGTCCTACAAAGCCAAAACATATATACAGCTTTCTTCAGCCGTTATTGCAAGAGTTATCCATACTTGAAGATCATGGGATAGTGGTTCTTACAGATCATGGAGGGTTTAGGGCTCGAGTGCATCTGATGTTTAGTGGTAGAGATATTCCAGCACTTGGAGACTTGATTGGCAGCCATCATGCGAGCTACTATGGGTGTAGGATGTGTAAGGTGAAGGGTGTCCTAGGTGCTAATGGCGGTATTTTTTTCCTAAGTAATAAGGCATTAGCTCGACCAAGGAAACGATCGTTGTTCAAGAGAGGAAGCCTGGTAAGAAACCTAAACAACATATTTCGAGAACAGTATGTCATTGGCTGCTAACTCTAATACAGAGACATGGACTGAAGAAGGCTACGCCATACGCAAAGCTCAAATCGTTCTATGCTCCTCATTTTTTCAGTATTGATAAACTTCACCTATTTGGACACAATCTTGGACATCAAGTCTGGAAAATGCTGTATGGAAAGTTGGGTAAAGGCTCACCCCTGACATTGAAGCGGAAGTACTACACAGCAGTCAGCGAAGCATTAGCAAAGGCAAGAAAGCATGTGCCAGAAACGTTTGAAGGCACGTTTATATGTAAGTGTGAATTCTACATTATTTTGCTTTTTTTATCAATGGATAGTGTCAACTACTCAGCGGTATCTTGCGGCAATAGACTTACAGTCTCAATCTGGATATGCGAGATCAGTTGATTGGATTACCTTTATGCGATATATTGTCCCTACTTTAGTCATTGAACAAATTGACCAGCAGCAACAGCATGCAAGAGCAGATAAGAAGGCCGATTCTTAAGTGGTAATGCAAGCTAAGGAGGCTCTTGTGTCCCTTGCAAAGGTGTATGGGCTTTGTTTGCAATACGAGATAACAATCCAAGAAATAGATGAAATTGAAATGTACGAGTATCAATATATATCTATTTATTGCATTTTCTGTTTTCACTCACACTTTGTTCTTTCTCACAGATGCATCAACAATTGGTGTGGATTCCTAGAAGCATACATGCCTACTGAAGCATTTACGATCAACCACCATTATCTCACTCATTTACCTGATGCTATTCGCCAGCTTGGCCCTCCTCACTTTTTGAGAAAGAGGTGCGGAAAGGAGATACAGGAACGAAGAGACGGAAACGTTTTAATCGTGAAAGTCGAAGGAGCACCATGAATCCAAAAGCATTCGCATTTCGATGGTGTGCGGTTGGAGGCGGTTTCGTGTGTATAGCAGGAGAAGTCGAGTTTGGGAAAAGCAACGTTCTGATGGTGTGGAAGTGACTGGGACCGCCAAATATTTTGCAGCCATTGCAGCCATGTTTGGCCACTGGGGCTGGGATTTCCAGTATGAAAGGACCAGTGGTTCTTGTCCTTTCTGGTTTGGTACCGGTCTTCTTAATCGCTCGTCCAAGTAATCCTCTGATTCGTCACCAGCCATGGACGTCATATATAGGCTGTACAAGCTTTGCATCTCGTCATTCACTTCGGGCCTCATAGCAGCGCCTTTCGGGAATGCTGCCCAGGCCTCGTGCACCATCTGCTGGCTTGAAACTTGGTATTCGTCTTCCCACCCTGCTTGGCGCCACTAAGAAAACTTCATCTGCAGATCCAATGCCGTCGCAACTGCGTATACATCCGTATCGTCTACCTTGCAATAGTACCTTTGCAACTTGTCGAGGCCACGTCTGGCCACACGTTTTAATTCTGGTGGATAACCATCGCTGACAACGTCCTCTAAAGTATCCATCAACTTGTTATAATGGACAATCGCGGTGTTGATAGTAGGGTGGCTCGTACTAGTGGACAAGGCGTTGGTCGACTTATAGAAGGGCGTCAAGATTTCCTTCAGCTGGTCGATACGCTTCCATTCTTCCGTTGTGAGCTTGAACGGCAATAACTCATCGTTGGTGCTATTCGAGCAAAGTACGTTATATAGTACACGTAGTAAGGCTGCACGGTCAAGCATGTCATATGTCGAATTCCAGCGGGTGGCCACGTCGAGATGGAGGGTGAGCTGAGTGGAGCAATCCGAGTTTTGTTGGCGCATGAACTACTCTATGCGCTGAGGCAAAAAACTATGTGTAATCAAACGTATAATAAGTAAATGGTGCCAATGATACCATCGAATAGGGAAATAATTGCTTGTTGATAGTAATCACTCATGAAATATTTTTGATTCCTTTTCGTAGCTTGACTAGCACATTCATTGCTTCGATCTCTTACTCCTCCAAAGCGCGTTCTGCGTTTACCTCGAAGGTTGCATTGACATCGACTTCGTCACTTTCGTCCTCGGCATCACTATCACCAGTATTGTTGCCCAACATTGGACCTAGGCCCCAACGTAGGATGTCTTGGACCGCCAAGTTCAGCACATGGCCAAGGCATGGGATATGGTGCTGGCCTGCACGGAATGACCTAATACAGATGGTATTGTATACGCTCATGAACCGATATTGCCAAATATTTCAAATTCGCATTTATACTCTCGATACTTACCATCCATTGTCAACAGCGTGCTGCTCAACGATCCGAGCCATCTTCTTCATATTTGAAGCATTATCCGTCGTGATAGTAAATAGTTTGGGCCCTAGGCCGAACTCATTCAAGACACAGATAAAAGCATTGGCAAGATTTTCTGCTGAATGGGGCCCCTCCAGTGGTACAAATCCGAGGATGATTTCATGCATGGTCCAAGTCGATGGGGAAATCCAGTGGCCAGTAACAGAAAGGAAAGCATCGTTGTAGGGGCTGGTCCAACCATCAAGTGTGCATGAAATTGCAGGAATCTTATCCAACATGGCGCGCAACTTAGTTTTGTACAGACCGTACTCCTCTTTGGTCTAAAGGTAATAAATGCAGCATTAAAATTATAATTTTTTGTCTGTATTGTGCATGGAAAAAATGTATCTAATATTTACCTTATTCGCAATTGTATCAGTACTTGGGAGCTGCACCATTCTCGTGGCAGATGCAGATTGTGCAATCTCCAAAAGTTCCTGCAAATCGTTGTTCTCAGCCAAGGTAAATGGCAGTTTGCTTTTTATGATGAACCTGACGAAGGCCTTCAGAAATTACGCGGGTGGGAATACACGGGCATGCTTCGTCTGGACAAATGAATCAAGGGGACCACCAGAACGCTTGCTTCTGGTGTGGGGGCTGCACTCCCTAGTGATACTATGGACCTTGTTCAAGTGCTTGATTAATCCAGACGTATTGCTTTGCTCGGCAGCGAAAGTTTTGGTGCAATTTCCCACCAGGCAACAGATGCGTGGCTTACCGTCCTTGTCATCATAGCGCTTACCGAAGCTATACTTGAATACCCAACTGGATCCCTTGCCTTGCGATTGCTTAACAGATACGGAAATAGACTCGGAATCAGTGTTGGCACCGCCGGCATCAATGTCTTCATCAGTAAGTGATATAGTATTGACTGATATAGCGGAAGGCACACGAGAAAAGGTTGGGGTTTGGATAGGAGTTTCTTGTGCCTTAATGGAAAAATATTATGGAGATCAATACACGTTAGAAATTTGCAATAGAGTTCACCACAACACGACATAACACGACACAACACAAACCAATCGCATAGTGATATTTACCCCATCATGAAGAGCAGCACAGACATCGCGGGAAGAAGAACCAATTTGATAAACCATGATTGAAATGTAGGAAGGCAACAGAGTTTTGAGGTAGAGTAGTATGTTAAGTGTACGGTAGATACAAGGATCGATGCTTCAAAAATAAACGCCTTTATATATTTTTCAAATGATGCCGCTGATGTCATTTATTGGACTTCTGATGGACGGATCCTTACAGATGATATCATCAACTTGCAGTTTACTCAACTCAATTCTTCCGACAAAGCAAAACGATGATGATATCATATAAGCTCATCCTGAAAAAGGTTTACATTATTGCTGGCTGTCAATGCTTCTATGAATGACGCATTTTGGGGTTCCTGGACGTGTAGTAATGAGGATCGGCAATAAAAAAGGAAAATGATATCATCGTTTTCTTATATTTAAGCTCACATCTTCCGATGACCTCATTTGTAACCACTTATTCCGACATCAGATGCGCTAATAATAGAAGCAGTTCTGCTTCGGCTAGTGGAATATGTGATGACAACCATTATCATTCATTTTATCCATAAGGCAACTGTTTATCATGTGTGCGAACATGTAAATGAATGATCGGGATGTACTTCGTTTGTAAATTCCTTACTATTGATTCAATCACTTAATTTGACGTAATTGGAAAAGAAATGATCGGAAAAGAGAAAATACACTCATTTCCTTTGTTACTTCTACTGACGGCAGCTTGCTTTCTCCGCTAATGACACGAGTCATTACTTGTTCATCTACTTTACTACCCACAATGCATTTTTCTCTATGACGTACTACTTTACTAGATTTAGCATGGCTTCTCGATCAGTTGTATCAACTTTGTACATTCTGTCTGAGATTGTGCATCCTGGGGCCTGTTACAGAATTATCTTACCGTTCACCCTTTGCCTTTTATGAGACACTATATACACGTAGAGTCTCAGTAGCTGTGTGTACTGCCGGTTGCAGTTTAATTCCTCCATATTACGATAACATATTGTATGATACTAGTAATACTACGTCGCTCTAACTACTATAAGCACCCACTTTTTTTTGTAAAAACTGTGCTTTAATCTTCTAACGATGCAATAACCCACATCGTGTAAAAAATGTTTATATTCTGTTTCTCTTATTCATTTTGAAATCGCTGTTCAATGTATAATAATAAACTATTCTTTTTTACTGCAGTATTCAAGTATACCATGATATTTGAAGACACACATGAGCTTTCATTTAAAAGATACCGAATTTTGCCTTTTTTATATACATAATGGGTTCGGTTCTTCGGTTCGATTCTCGGTTCTACGGTTCTTGTCAGTTCTACGGTTCTTGTCGGTTCTAGTCAGTTCGGTTCTTGCTTTGGATGGTTCGGTTCGGTTCTTGCTTTGGATGGTTCGGTTCGGTTCCCTTCAAGAACCGAATCGAACCGAACCGTACGGAACCCTAAGTAGTGCTGCTGATAAGAGCTGTATTCTTGAGAAGTGGAGGGGTCAACTAGAGGCTTATAGTTGATAGTAGTGGGGTAATATCTCAGTAAGCTGATACCCTAATACTCCTTCATTACTATCTATAAGGCACAAGGTATACTCAATCCATATATGCAGATATACCAAAATACAAATCAGGATGAAAAAGCAACTAATGTTAATTCTTAGGAGCAGTAATGTCTGTATATTATCAAGACACAAATAAATATTACAGTGCATGCTTCTATAAAGGCTGGATAGTGTAAGATAATGGTTCACTACTAGATAATACAAAGTTAAAAAGAGAGGGGTGATATATATATTCTATAATTCTATGATTTGTTATGGTATGAAATAGGGCAGTGATGTTACTGTTATGATGACTTATTTGGCTGGGTCCTATATTGGCTCGGTGGCCATATCCGTAGTGAGGAATTTTCGTCTACCGGTCACAACAAATATTGTAAAGAAAGGAAAAAATAGGTAGAAGCAAGTGCAAAGTGTATATTTATGATATGTTTGTTTACGCGAGAAAAGTATTGAAAACTATTACAAATATATGGGGAAAAATAAAGTTGTGGTTGAGTAACTAGTTCAATTTCTTTCTTTTTCGTGTATTATCATTATTTGCACTACATGATGGGTGAGATCTGTTTTGACTGCCAGGGCAATTTTGTGGATCAGTGCAGCCTTCATTTTGACAAGTCCGGGAATATTTTTGCTGTTTCTTT